AGGAATCCTCTCCAATCCTTACACTCCCAAATGGGATTTATTGATCACACTGTGAACTAGGGTTTACAGCAGTTAATGAAACTTCAAAGCCCCAGCCTATGGAGCTTACATTCTTGGTTAAGGAAACTGATACTAGACGAACACAGAATAGTATTGCCACAGACAGTAAAGTGTGCTGTAGAGGGAAAGGAAGCAAACGGGGACTGCAGAGAACTGGTGCAGCCGGGGTTGGTGAGAAGGCTCATCAGGCAAGGCACGTGCTGCTAAGCCTTGACCTAAGTTCGATTCCCAGGACCCACGTGGTGGAAGGGAGAGTCCCACAAGTTGTCTCTCCACGTATGGGTACTATGGCATGTGCATGCCCACGAATGGGTACCATATACGCACAAAGTAAATAAAACATTCAGATGTTTTTTAAAACAAGGGCCTCAGTCGGGCATGGTGATACACACCTTTAATCCTAGTACTCTGGAGGCAGAGTGTGCATGCACACATAATTAAAAATAAAATATCCTTTTAAAAGGATTGTCTTTGTATGGGAGACAATCTTTTTTCTTTAAGAAGAGTTGAAATTAGAAAAGTTGAAATAGAAATACTTCATGTATACAGGAACTAAATGGATGGTTGGTGAACACTTTACAGATGAGTCTCAAGCTCAGAAAGAGAATTTGTAGAAGCCAGGTGCAAAACTTACTCCTTTTCAGCTTGTCCTGTTAAGCTGTTAGAAAGTTACATCTTAGAAATAATTTTTTTAGAATATGTATAGCATGGTGTTTTAAGTCTTTGATGTTTTACCTGTTAAGGTGTACCTATTCTGGGAGTCAAAGGGAATAAGATCAGGAGGTTACAAGTTTCAACTAGATCAGTCTACTCCAAAGAATACTATTTCTGAAATATTTAAATAGGAATCCTCTCCAATCCTTACACTCCCAAATGGGATTTATTGATCACACTGTGAACTAGGGTTTACAGCAGTTAATGAAACTTCAAAGCCCCAGCCTCATAGAGCTTACATTCTTGGTTAAGGAAACTGATACTAGACGAACACAGTAAGCGTATTGCCACAGACAGTAAAGTGTGCCGTAGAGGGAAAGGAAGCAAACGGGGACTGCAGAGAACTGGTGCGGCCGGGGTTGGTTTGTTAGAGTATGAAGGATAGTCCAGAAAAACCTCACCGGGCCAGTGAGAAGGCTCATCAGGCCAGGCACCTGCTGCTAAGCCTTGACCTAAGTTCGATTCCCGGGACCCACGTGGTGGAAGGGAGAGTCCCACAAGTTGTCTCTCCACGTACTTCCCGGTATGCCCTTTTTTTTTTTAATGGTAACATTTTTAATTGAACTTTTTTTTTTAATTGTACAGTTGTATGGGGTTGCTGTACGTAAGTGTTGGTCCAATTTTTAATTTAGTTATTTAATTTTTTGAGATGGTCTTATGTAGTCCAGGTTGGCCTCAAACTCCCTGTGTACCCAAGGATGACTTTGAACTTTTGATCCTCTATGCCTCAACTTCCCAAATGCTGGGATTGCTAGTGTGCACCTCAACTTCTGGTTTATGCAATGCTGAGTATCCAAGCCAAGACTTTTTGCTTCCTAGATAAGCATTCTGCCAACCGATTT